TTCTTTTTCAGCGTATTTTTTACTGATTTTTGGTTTTGGGTTATTAATTGCAGTTCTTATTTTTATATACGTATTTACTTGAAAAAGTTTGAGAATTTCAATAATTTTAAAAATATTTGGATGTTGGTGATAAAAATTAGAGTTAAAATCAGAATGAAAACTTTCACAAGCGTTTGTCGTATGGACTCTGAATATTGCCGCGCCCACATTTTCGGAGGAAAAATTGATTCATTTGATATATAATTGTCTACCAAATAATCACAAAATTCGGTTATAGCTAGATTTTCAGGTTTGTCTGCCATAAAATATTCTGTAAAACATTCTGCCACTTCCTCTGGATTGAGAAAAGGAAGTCCAAAAATATGTACTAACCATTTTCCTACATCGTCATTTGCAGAATTAAATTGTGGTGCGTAACCTAAATTTTGAATTTTGCGGTACCAAGCTTGGCCCAAATGAAAACGACATCCAAACACCTCTGTTTCCGGAAAAATTTCAAAAACTGCTTGATGCATTGCTATTTCAAAATCTAAAATAATTTTTTTAGGTATTACTCCAGCTATTTTTATCGTTTTCAATAATGCAACGTAAGTCTTTTTTTCTTTATTTGGCAATAAACAAAACATTAACGGAATGTACACTCCATTTTTAATGCCATGAATCGTGTATAGTTGCGTATAATATTTATCACTATAGTTAAAAGTACCATCCATATATAAAACATCTAATTCTTTTAACAAATCTATATTTGTTTTACATGAAAAAATAACTATTTCATTTAGCGCATCATTTTCATATAAAAATAACTCACCTCTATTTGTTTTTATGTCTAATAAACTTAATATTTCGTGCACTTCTTTTCTTGATGTTGGCAGTTTGGGGAAACAATGCATCCTTGCATTATGGATATTCCTTGCTATGAGTTTTAAGTCGGGTGCAATCAAATCTCCTTCGTTAGCATAATTTGATACTTCTTTTCGTATTATTTTTGACGGTTTTTCAACTATAGAGTCTACAGCTTTTCTTTTGCAAGCATTGCTTATTTGTTGCCGATTTAAAGTGCTATCACTTGCATGGCGGTGATCAAAACACGATTTATCTGTATTAATTAATTGGGCATTTTGACCCAAAGTATAAACTTTTGCACTACACTTATTTATTACACAACGCCACGTAATTTCATTTTTTTTAGATGTATGATGCTTAAAAAATTTAAAATTATTCAAAACTAGTAGTTGTTTGCCTTTTTCACTCAACATGAATGATACATTCTCGCTCATTGTGAATTTGTATAACTGTATATGATTGGTATAAACGGATATGTACGGACACTCAGATGTTTCGAACAATACTAACAAAACTTTTAAGAGAAATAACTACATGTACATTTTACTGTGTATAGTTATAAGACTTATAACTAATTTTAAGATTATCAAATCAAAATCAAGTTCTGTATCATTTTTATCGATGATGAAAAGTCATAAATATTTTGTATGTCAAAAATATAGATAATAAGATATTTTATCTTTTTCCTTACGTCGAGTCGGTATAGGGGATAATATTATCAGCTTGTAGCTTGTCGTATTTTCCAGTGATTTCGTATATTATACATTTATAAGTATTATTTATAAGTATATTTGAATGTAGTTACCTATACTAAATAGCTAACCAGCGTATAAAGTTTCAATAAAAAATCTAATTATTATATGCTTATTTGTGAAAATGTGTTATGCGATTTGTATTATATAATATATAATCATCATATATTTATTCGTATATACATATTTACACATATATACACATATAGGTACACTTACATATGTACCTTTTTCCGCCGTGTAGGAACTAACATAGGTACCTGGTTTTTACCGTGTAGGAACTTACATACGTACCTTTTTCCGCCGTGTAGGAACTAACATAGGTACCTGGTTTTTACCCTGTAGGAACTTACATATGCCCGTGTAGGAACTAACATATGTAATTGTTTACCTGCTACTCTCGTGTAGGAACTTACTATTCCCCGGAATATCACTATCCAATTCTTCTAAATCATTTGAAGAATTAGAGGATATTTCCGCGTACCTATAGAGCTACGTGAACCTAGAGAGCGGCAATTACTACTATAATATATAGTAATAGGTAAATGGTATCTTATCTTTATTTCGATAATATCAAGTGGGTAGGTAAATTACATGAACGAAGTGTACTCAGATACATTAAATAAAATAAGAGACAATATAAAGGGAAATAAAATTTGGGTCTGAATAGACAAGGCCACAGATGTTATTGGAAGAGATGTGGCTAACGTTGTGATCGGAACACTCCAAACTGACCAACCAGGAAAAGTGTATTTATTAAATACAGAAATTCTCGATAAAGCAAATCTTTTCAACCATAACCAAATTATTCAATAAATCTATGTTCCTTCTTTGACCGGACGGTATTCATTGTGATGACGTTTTTCTGTTTCTTATAGTGACGCAGCTCAGTGTATGGCGAAAGCAGAGACTATAATTAAAGCGCTCTATTCAAAAATGATTCATTGATTCATCATTCATGTCACATGTTTGGCCCATGGCATGCATCGAGTTGCAGAAGTCATACGCGGAAAATTTCCTGAAGTAGACAAACTCATTGCTAAAATTAAACAAATATTTTTAAAAGCACCAAGCCGAACTATTTTTTTAAAATGAAGCACCAGGTACACCATTATCGGCACAACCTATAATCACACACTATAGGGTACGTGGCTTGAGGCTGCATCATACTATTGTAAATATTTGAATGAAGTGAAAAGTGTAGTGCAAGAATTTGATCCTGACGATCAATAAAAGTATCACAAAATATTTTTAACCAGAATTCAACTTTAGTATTTATTCACTCGAATTACGGATTTTTGCCGAACGCGATTTTAAAATAAGAAAATCAAGGACTTTCGATAGTTGAAGCCATTAGAATAATTAAAAATGTTCAAAATAATTTAGACAATGTAGGTATTTTGTGAAATCGGGATTTCAATCCATGAAAAGTTTAAAAATGTTATTGAAAAGAATACCGGATTTGTCACCATTATTAAAATCAATGATATACTTACTCACTAGACATAGAAAACTGTTAGAGGGTTTACCCGAAGGCCGAAGACTTGACAGTAAGCGATTTAGCTTATTTTAAATACACTCCGCTTACACCAACCGATGTAGAACGAAGTTTTTCGAGGTAAAAGAACTTACTAGCTCCAAATCGAAGAGGGTTCTACTTCAATAGTTTTAAAACAAACACTTATAGGCAGTGCAATGCAATGATGTATAAAATGAATTTATGACGATGACATGATTATATAGTGAACTAATGAATAATGATGTATAATATATACAGTTATTTATATATTTTTTTGTAGAATTTAAATTATAATTTATAACAGTACCTATAAATGTAAAACATTTCTAAAAAAACGTTGTTATTTTTTTGGTACGATTTTTAGCAATTTTTTAGTGCAATACTGCAATCAATTTTATTTTTTTTTAGTACTACAACATCCGTTATAATAATAATTATTTAAAAACCTCGAGAACCAAATGTCCTATGATCAAAATATGCCGGGGACCAAACGTCCTATGGGCTATGGGCATGGCTAACTATAGTAACTATAATATGGTTTAATCGCGCTCTAGATAAATAAATAGACGCCTATCGACATATCGAAGTATAACCTGGAAATTCTTAAAAAGTAAGGTATTTTACATAATGATACAATAATGATCGTACAATTTTCTTCAAGTTTGACAGGGTTTATCATAACAGAAGATGTCATTCGAGTTAAGAATAAGTGTATAAGTCTATTCTTCATTATATAATAGTAGGTACATGAAAAATGTAGCTTATAGAGAACCTAAAAATATTACATTGGTCCTATTAAATTTAGTTGGTGGTGAGTGGGTTATGGCTAATGGGTATAGTTTATTTGGTTATGACTTATGAATCTTGATCCCTGAGTTGTGCAATCTTATACCTATATTCACACCATTCCTATGGCAAGTTGCTACCAATATATTGACTCAAAAGATAATTACAATGATATAAAATATATATAATTATAATTTATAATATAGGTAGTAGGTATATAGGATATAAATATATACTATTCAAATAATTAATAATATAATAAATGTAATGTTTTTGACAAAAATTAATTCAACCTACATATAGCTGGTAGGTACCTATATAGGTATTACCATTGAGTCGATACTCAATGTCTCAATGCTATTACTAACAGTAGTAGAATAATTTATTAAGATAACAAAATAAATACCTATAATATGTATTATGTATATCTCAAAACATATTTATTAATATTTAATGGGTAGGTGTACCATCTCCACTCAGTACCATTTTTTGCATGCAATAACTTATCATTGAAGTCAAGTCTCAGGCAACATATCAAATTAAAATTTTTAAGTACAAATAAATTATTCTTATTGAAAATAAGTTGGTAGGTATTGAAAAATAAACTTAAGAATTTTGTCATATTTATCTATTATTAAATTGTAACAATGTAAGTATCTTCCATTTTTCTAGCAAAGCGATAACATTTTTTTTGTAGGTGGATGAATAAAAATAATTTTTTGCACTGCAGTGGGCTCATTGTTGTAAAATGACTTGTCACACCACTACTAACAGCTATGTCTAATGTTCCGTGCTCAGTGTTCGTTGTTTATAGACATTGTTACTGAACAGTTGCAGATGATTAGTCTACTAGGTACCTAGGTACAAGGTACTTACTTTAGTGTAGCATTCGCATGCTCCTAAATTTCTATGTTAATAACTGTTACTTACATAGGAACTTACTATTTTTTAATAATAAATACTTAGGTAATTTTATTCAAAATATGTTGCTTATAATTGTATACAATGTGTAAATTAAATAATTTTTACTTTTATTAATTTATCAATTATTTTACATTAAAGATATTTTCAAATAATTTTGTTTTATTTAAAAAAACATGGAAACTGAGCAAAAAACATTAGATGATTTCATCAAGAACAAAAAACGGCCTGTTAACGATCATAGCTTATGTAAAAAAGAACTGATGAATTCTACTGTTGGAATTAACAAACTTAGTATAAAATTATCATCTGATGGTTTTGTACTCCAAAGCATTAAAAAACAAAAGGTTAGTTGAAAATAATATTTAAAGATACAAGGATTCCCATTGGCTAAGCATTCATATCAATTTTTTTTCTGTTATTACATCTTGACAGGTGAATATTTTTATCCTATACCTACTAAAAAAAATCACTTCTGTGCAACAAAATATCTTGACATAAAAATATTTTCTCAATATTTTGTGCTTCTTTACTTTTTCATACAAATAATATTTTTAAAAATATTTCAATTCAAATATATGTACCATTTATTTTTATCAAATAGAAGTTTAAGCTAATGGTATCGTGTTTTAAATAATTAGAACACATGGAAAACATTTAAGCATCAAACAATAGTTAGTAAACTTGTAATGCTTAAACTATTCATAGTCAGATAGCTAGTTTTTTTAGATGTGTTTTTTTCTAGATTTGATTCTTGCAAGTCATTAATTATATTTTTATGATCTTATGACGATGGTAATTTTGGTAATATGGCCAATGAATTTAGTCTTCTTTTTGGTATATAGTTTATCGTAAAAAATTATTCATTCTTTATAAACAAGAAAACAAATATTTGGTGAAGTGCTAATGTTGGATAGTGGTTGTTGTAGAGACAAATGTCCAATAGGCAAATTCAATACTTGAGTAAAGGTCATTCTTTCTAAGTGTATAAATTGCCTTCATGTAAAAAGAGTACCTAGTGTAGTTTCCTTTTTATTAACACATTATAATTTGGTAGAAACCACAATTTAACATATAGTTTGTTTGAAAATTAATTTTTTTCCTAGGCTCTTTTGTAAATCAACATTCTTAGTTAATTTGCCTTAGTCATTAGTTCAGAGTCTTAATATTGTTTAAATTTAAAATTGTGTAATTTATTAAGAAAATCAAAAAGCTTACCTACAGTATTATACCTACGTATTTCATACGTTTTTCAACTACTTTTAAATTATTGGGGCAGAGACAATGCCAACTAAACTATTGTCTATAATATTAATACATACAGGCTCTATATGAATAAAGTGTACTGTAAATAAGTATTATTGTGTATTCCAATATTTAAGTTTTAAGTAAAAAACAAATATATATTGAAATTGTACAATAAAATTAAAAACTTTATTTTTCCTATAAAAAAACAAAATTAATTCTTTAATAAAAATGTGCAGTCCTCCAATTCAACCATTGATATTGTATACATGTCTTAAATTAAAAATGTATTATTTGTATGATAAACTATTTTAGTCTATTCATTTATTTATTATCATGTATATTACTAAATATATGCCTCAACAAGACATATTTATGACAAATTAAAAGTTTTATTATTTTGTGAAGCATAAAACAATGTAAGTACAATAGAATCTTGATTATCCAAGCTAATTGATACTGTGCGTACAAATTTTATTTATATGATAAAAAAATATTTATAATAGGTACATGAGAAGGCAACAGAAACATTAAATAAATAGATTAAAATAAAATAAATAATATGATAATTAATATAAAATATATTTATAAATATTTTGATTTTATTACTTTTAGGTTGAAAATTGTGTAAGACTTAAAGATACAATTGATGTTTCTAATGCAGTTACTAATAACTTTTTAAGTGAAGAAGAAAAAAAAAATGATGTTAACCCTGAACGATTTATAACTCCTGAGCAATCACCATCTACTAAGGCCCAATTACGACAAGTAAGTATATCAGTAGGTACTCATTTCTGTACATCTATACATTTTTTTTAATGTATTTATTATAAATTAGAATTATCAATAAATAAGTATTAATATTTTATTATATTATTACTTAATTCATTAATTACACCTAAAATAAATGTTTGATATTGTTATAAATAAGAAAAGCATCTAAATAAATATGTGCACCGCATATTATGATGATTACAATTTGTTTAAAGCATAATTTAGTAAATACTTAGTCTTTAACAACAAAAAATGCTAACAGTACATATTTTTGTAAAACTGAGTATAACGAATTGAACGCAAAGTTATTATTGTTTACAAAAGTGTATGGCGGAAAAGAAATTGTATACAAGATAAGTGCCATAACAATAATCTCTGCTAAATATTATTATATTTCTTGTTTGTTATCATATTGTTATTTAACATTTCTTAACCTGTATTTAATTACTAGGTATAAGTATACAATTATACAATGTTTGGACATTATGTTACATTTTCTAAGTTGATAATCAAAATTTGGCTCTGTTAATTCGACTGGGTCAATAACAGTACCTACTCACAGGTGTCCCTCAATTTAAATTGTTTTCATATAAAGTTATATCTAGTATAAACATATTATACATTAATTTTCTGGAAGTTGAAAGTTCTGAGAATTGTATTTCCAGAGAAACCATATGTTTGTTTTTTTCAGTGAAAAAATGTAATAGATCTATTATAGACAAGTAATATATTATTTTTTGAAATGACTTGGTTGAGTTGGCATGGTTTATAGTATTATTTGACATTTTATTACCTAGGTACTGACTTAGTATAGGTACTCACTATTCTGTATTGGTGAGAGTTAATGGGACGAGACATATTGATTTTGTTTAAGTCAAAAAAGAATTAAGGGACTAATAATAAAACTGTGTAGGTATGATGGGTTAGTATTAATTTGATATTGAAATAATTATTGATAATATTTGATTATATTTGGTCTGATGTCTATAACTTATTTTAAGAAATTAATTTTGGAAACAGAAAATGGATATTTACAAATAAAGGATATTTTTAAATTTTTTCGAAGTAAATCTACAATCTTTTCAATTTTGTACAATGAGTAGGTTTGATATTATGTTACATAAATAATAATTAACAATGTGTCTTACGATTATAGAGGTTACCTAGCTACTGGTAACACCCAGCAAACAAATAAAGGTAACCCATAGGTCACAATTTAAAAATTATAAGTCATCAATTTGGTGATGTTATTTAATGACACTTAAATGTCTTGAAAATTTAGAATTTTATAAAAATTCTATAAATATTTCAAAGATATAAATAAATAATCAAATGTACATATAAAAAGTACTTTGGTAATTCTGTTAGTTGTCTGATCAACTGCATTAATTATTATTTGTATTATTATTTTTTAGATTTTGGATTTGAGTGAATTTAATAAAATTGTTTGTTGTAAGCAAAACATTAAAAAACTTCAAGAAAAGCTTAACTTGGTAGAACAATGTCAAAAGAATCTTAAGTCTACAACATCTAAAGTTGAAACAACTAAAGAAAATTGTTCAGCTTTGTCTGAGTCAGACAATTTCAAGATTAGCACTAGTCCAGTAAAATATTCTCAATTAAAACCGACATCATTATTTCCTAGTCCTAGAAGAGTAATGATGGACCTTCAACCAAAACTGACTAAAATATTACTTAATGATGTTGGATCTGTCATGACTATTTCACCATTACGACAGTATTCTGCATTAACAGATTCTAAATCCTTACCTTTGCCATTGAAATTTCGAATTTTGAATGAATTGTTTAAAGTTATGGACACAGTGTTATCTATGACATTTTCAAGAAAAGAAAAAATAACATTTTATAAACTCAAACAAAATATTCAGCAAATTACTAGAAAGTAATGGTCATTGTTCAAATATACTTTTATTTTAAACTGGACCGATATCATACATTCTATTATTCTAATATCTGATAAATCAATATTGGTAATATTGTAATCTGCCATTTTTAAAAAATATATATATTTTATTATACAGTTATTTAAATATATATATATATATATTATAGAAATTTTAAAATGTCACAAAATATGTATTTCAGTACTTCCTAGGTTCCCTCCAAAATTTGTTTCAATACAAGTTCTTCCGTCCAAAATATTTAGTGTTACTTTAAATTGGGATGACACTGTGTATAAAATGTAATAAAATAAAATTTTTTATAATTATAATAATAATATAATTATGCAGTGTCAAATATATATTGGTTTATGGAGTCAGTCCAGTTATTTTAAATTATTGTCTATAAATATTAAGTAAATAATAATTATTCAACATTATTTTCCAGGAATTTTACTGAATTACATTTGGCTCAAATTAAAACCATTGTTCCTGAATTTTTCCAGTTTTCCTTAGTGAAATCATCAAAAGATAAATTTAGTATTGATTTAGTAATAGCTCCAGTTTATGGTAGTTCTACTTTTTTATGATGTATATCTTATGAATATTGAACAATGTTTATATTAATTAGGTTTGGCACACAAAGATAACATTGATCTAATACAAATAACAATTCAGAGAAAAAATACATTTTTGAATGCATTAATAAACATTATGAAAGTACACCATGCAGTAAGTAAAATATTAATTTAATAAAGGAATAATTTTCTTAATTTAAGAGAATCATTTTTTATTCTTCAAGGAATATTTGAATAAATTAATCCCTCCTATCTTAATTGATGAAGATAAAATTATCAGATGGCACCCTGAGTTTGATGTTGAATCCGTGCCAAATATCAATCCATCACCATTGCCTAAGATTGAAATTGACAAGTCAAAAATACCAACTGCAAAAGATATATTGGGTACAAATAATAAAAAAAATATATTGCATAGGTACCTCTTTTTATTGACCTTTTTTTAGATCAAATGCATGCATTGTTTATTTACAATAATTGTTTAAATCGAGCCCCTACTCCAATAACGAATGAAAACCATAACAGCTTAATTGAATTAAAATTACCTGCAGAAGATGCAAAAAACACTTTAAAGGGGACACTAAATATTCCCAAACTATTTTTAATTAAGGTAAAGTGTATTTATTTATTTTTTATCAGTATTTTATCTATTTAAGTAATTATGTTTAGATCCAGTCCAAGCAAATTGAAAAAGCAAGAGGATTAATGATGAGATCAAACTGTCAATTAAGTAATTATAAAATGATGATTAGATTACCAGATATTGCTCGAAGAATGCGTACTTACTTTGTACAACTTCAAAGAAATGTTATGCCATTAAAAAAAGTTATTGATCAATTAAAGCAAAGTTATCCCGAGGCTATGACAGACTGTAATAATATTTTCTCTGTTATTTAATTTTTTATATAATTATTTATTTTTATTCCAGATGAATGGGAAGCTCACTTAAATCTTCTTCAAAAAAAAGTACCCCACTGGGTTGTATCAAAAATAGTAGATGGAACTGAATACATTCGAGTTGATAAAAAAATTAATTTTGAAGAATGTGTGATTAAAAAATTAAAAAATAATTTCGAATTATGACGTTTATTTTAATTTGTTTTAAATTTACCTTATTTTATTTTTACTTTATTTCATTTTTATAACATATTTTTAATTATTTTTTTTTTTGAATACCACATTTTTTGTTGTAGATTAACAAAACGCATAAATTAAAGTAGGTACCAAGTCCCTCCTTGGTACCTATATAGTATATAGTAATTACTTATTATAAAAAAAAAGTAAGTTATTAAAAAAATTCTAATGTTTGCCATTTTTTTTTTTACTTCTACCTTCCCAACCACCCTAACACATAAGCTGAGTTTTTTTTTATAACATAAGGTATACTATCATTTTACGGCAGCCGCGGTCACTTCCCCTGAGGACAAATTGTATACGTAGTAACACAAATGTCAAGTCTCAATTCCCTGTAAAAATAAGATTGGCAAAAAAAATAACAGAACAAAAAAAGCGGGAAAAGTGGATGTTAGGTGTCTAGAAGGTTGCTGTAATGGATGGTAATAAATTTGAATTCAATGATATAATATCATTGTACACGAAAATCGATTCTGTGCGGAGACGGTATGTCAGTCTAGGATATTTTATTTTGTTATTACTTATATTAGTTATTAGTTATTATTAATACGGTAGACGGTAAGTTGAATTAACATTATTCGTAATATTATTCTTAAAGTATCAGTGATGCTGGAAAAATATATATATACTTATGTAAAATCGGGCAGTTTTGGAATGAAACTAAAATCGTCTAGTTATATTCGTCTTTTAATTACAACAAAATAAGAAAACCGCTATATGAGAAATCGAGTGAATATCTAAGGTTGTAAAAATGTCATCTTTAAAAGCTCATAAAAATTTAATTTGACTATAGTAATTTAGTAGACATTTTTTTTTTTATGAAGGTAGACAAACTTATAAGGAATCATGCATTACATTTTTAAACCTTGGATATAAAAAGAAAATTTTTTGTGAATTTCTAACTCAAAATAATTTGCTAAAAAACTTTTAAATTCAAATGCTCATAAAAAATTTTTGTGGATATACTCTCAATTTTTTTTTAATTTCCACCAACAAAAACTTACGAGGAATCTTGTATTACATTTTAAATCTTTTTATTGACATTTAAAAAAAACAAATAATAATCGAAAATGTCATATGCCTATAAGGCTATAAAGTATAAATAGTTTAACACGAGTCAAAATATTTTGGAAATTGTAGGGTGTATAGAACATGCTGACACAAACAATCAGTGAAATTTGCATGTAGGTACCTACCTATGGTTATTTTTTGTAGAGGTACACTAAAAACCAAAATTGATTTTTTTCAAAAATTGGTTTTGGGTAAAAATTCCGGGTTTTTACTTAATTTTTTGTTTGTTTTTCCTGTTATTGAACCGCTTATGAAAATATGGCGTGGTGTGGTTTGGATATAGGTAACTATTGTGACAGTGAGTTTTATCAAAAATAGAGGGAAAATTACTAATGGAGACGTAAACAAGAAATTAGTTGGTTTAGAAAACAATAAAAAAAGCCAAAATTGGGAATTCTTAAGCAAAACCAATCCGCTTAAATTCGATTTTATTTTAGTGGCGTAGGTACCTCTAAAACTAATAAATGTGGACAATTAAAATTTTGACCCAATATTTATATAAGTATTTTCTATACATGGTAAAATTTTCTTTTTGAGCTTCTTATAGCCTTAAGAAATTTTTCGAGTGCGTTATTTAAATTTCAAATGTTGACAAAATTCTGTAAATTTGTTAATTATTTTCTCGGCGCTTCCGAAAACTTCTCAGAATTTTCAATATTGACCTCCCGAATGCAACCAACTAGATTCACTTTTCTAACAGATGAGAATATAAGATACTGATGTCGGAAATCAGAGCATTTTTACTACCTCAGATGTTGATGACTGATAAAAAACACACATCATTGTAAATAGTAAATACAATACATTCATTTCCACGCTAAAAAAAAGTAAACATACTACTTATAGCAATAAAATTTAACTATTTAAGTAAAACATACATTTTAATGAATTTTTAGTGAATTTGTAAACATATTTACACTGCAATACCTACAATTGGAAATATGAATATGACTATGAAATATGAATGTGTAAAAAATAAAATATTTGTACCCGATATGTTCATAGTTAAATTAAAAAACGATATTATCCTATGGCTGTCTGCTAATTAAATTGTTAATTTGTAAAATCTCTTTGGTGTCGCGTAATCATGATCCTTATCAAAGCTCCACCCCACGTCTCCTGTAATAGTGTACCACTTTTTGCCTTTCATCATTTAGCCTTTTAGTTTTTACTAAACATTTTAATAAGATTATTTTTTTCATACTTATTATTTACCTATTTAATTATATACGTATTAGGTTAAATACTTAAATATCAATTGTAAGAATATTTAATTGTTTACTGTATATGTTACAGTCATAATATTTGTGAGTTTTTTTTTCCATACGCATGCTAAATGTTATGCAGTTTTATTTTAAATTATATAAATGCATAATAAAAAAATTTAATGTTTTCTTTTTGTAATTGTGTGATTCCTTAGAAGTCAAATGCTAACTACAGATGGATACAAATATTGGGGTCCTCGAGAATGCTGTCATACAGGTGGTGGTCGAGAGTGTTACGCCGGATATGATTGTAGTGTCATATACTGCCATAAATGGGTCTGTTTACCAAGGCATACTGTTGAACAATGTCAAAAGGTAAGATTTGTGTATTATAAATAAAATTATAAATACATTTGTGCGAACTTTTAGACGTTTTCCATGTGGAAGTGTTCCTATGACAAAACCTCCACTATCGCCCAGAAATTTAAAGACTGAATCTGATAATGACATTTTATATTCTGTAAGTCAACGTTTTACTTATTTTCAAAACACCCCAAACACATCAAAAAAAATTCCTAGTAAAACTAAAAAAGTGAGAAAACCCATGACTGTCCGTCTAAGACCTCGTGAAGTTCTATGTTCAAAATGTAAATCAAACTGTACTGAAAATTCAGGCAATGTTGAAACCTCCAAAGATCTTGTCAAAAATGAAATTAGTAAAATTCCTGAAAATAATGGAGAAAAGAGATTATTACGGAGTCATGGACCTGTTCCAGATTTTCCTATAAAATCATCAGATTCTGTATCGACTGTATCTCAAGTTAAATCTATGTGCCGTACCCTAATACCTAAACTTGTTAAAATTAAATCAAGAGAAATAAAAGAGGCACTTAATAATTATTCAACATTCACTGAACTAGATCAATGGGTAGGTAACAAAAAAGACTGTGAAGATGACTGTGATATTGAAGAAAAAATGGTGTTACGAAAAAAACCTAGCATTGGATCAATGGAAGATCTATGGGATGAAACAGCATTTGAAGAAACTAAAAAAACACCAATCATAAAAATAACATTTGGATCTCAAGGTGAAGGTACAGTTATGGAAATACCATCTCGTCAAGCTGATGGAGATAGTGAACCAGATAAACTTTTACGTAAAAGGGCAAAGCGTAGAAGACAAGATGGAGAAAAAAGAAAAAAACATAAGAAAAGACATAAAGAACAAGAGGATGAATTAGAAATGAATAATTTCTCAATAAATTTAAATAATTTTAATTCTAAAGAGGAATATTGTACAAGAAAAGAAACTAATAGTTCTGAATCAATTAATAACGTAAATGGCGAACACTCTGATGATGATATTGAATCAAATAGTTCACCTGAACTTGTAATGCCTCAGACAGAGACATCAGACTCTAATTCTTTTTTTGTATTGAAATCGGGTAAAATTCTACATGAAGGCGATGTTGTTTGGGGAAAAGTAAAAGGATTTCCTTGGTGGCCAGCAAAGGTATGTATAGTCAGTAAAATGATAATTTTAAAAGCAGATATTGGTAACTAACTGTTATGTTTTAAATTAAAATTGTTGATATTGACTATTAAGGTATCAAATTTTACTACAAGTAATGGTGAAGAAAATGGGTCATTTGTTAATGTCACTTGGTTTGGTTCTTCTACTACATCTTTTCTTAATTGCGAACAGATTAATCCATTTTTAGATTTTTACAAGGTATGTAAAAAATAATAAAAATAAGATGTACCTAGGTATTATGGAAAAATGAATAGTGTTAAAATGCCTAAATAGGGTATTAATGAATAGATAGAGGCAGACTGTCAGAGTCGATAAACAATTGTTGACAAATTTGAATTCACCAATTATCTACTTTTGGAATAATTTGTATAACTGTCCAGTTATCGGGTGGTGTACTACTGAGTACCTTGCAACTCTGTAATTTCCTGTTATTTTAAACTGTTATAAACAATTACCTATTGCACAAATATAATGTATAGATTGTAATATTATGATTTTTTGATAAAAAAAAATTCAATCATAGAAACTATTTAATTATATATTTAAATATTTATTTATTAAATTAGTAACTACTTTATAAAATAATAGTGGTGTATTTATGATTTTCTTTTAGGGGGCAATAACCAACAAAAAATCTCATTGCTACTGACCTAAAATTGCTTTCTCAGAAATTGTTATATATCAAATGTCCAGAAAAAATATTTTAAGAGAACTTTATTGCCCGTGTTTTAAAATAACCAGAAAATAATAAATTTAAATTTATTTTTGTTATTAAAATTTTTAACTATTCATAAGAAAGGATGGTATTTGGTACAATATTTCCTCTACATTTTTTTTAACTTATAACAGGCTCTTGGTAAAAGTTATATGCTACCCAGGTTAACGTTGCGAATACCCTACCTACTGAAAAATAGTGTGGTTTAAATGATTATTGAACTTTTTAAAAGAACTGTTTTAGAGTATAGTATTTTTTGATACTTTTAATATTATGTGTTTTTTTCAATAGTTTTGAGTAGAAATTATTTTGTTTATAGTCTCGATTTAACAAACACAAGAAAACAAGTAGTTATAAAGAAGCTATCAAACAAGCAATGGCTGTAGCAAAACAACAACAAAATACAACCAACCAAAATACCAGTTGATAACTGTGAGTTAATAATTATTATATTGTTTTATTATCATATTAAATGTTATTTATCCTTAAATTGTTAATTCAAATTATTTTTGTCTTAACACTTCATTTTATTTTTAACTAGTCAAATTTTTGTACATGTTTCGCATCACAAAAAAAGGCTTAAGAGCTCTTATTAAACATTGCTTATATGTCGTGTTAGATAATATAATGAAAGACTTAAATGATAAATATTGTTTTATATATTTAAAAGTTCCTTATTGGATATATCTATTTGAATTTATTCAGAACATTTTATCAATTTTTAATTTAGTTATATTTTAACATTTATAATAATTCCTTAAAATATTTTCTATTATAGTTTTTTTGGTTATTAAATGTGTTTACAATGATTTTGTTATATTAACTATGAGTAAAAAAAATATTAATTGTAAAGGACCAATAATTGTTTGTATTTAAAAATATTCTATAGGCTATTTAATTAATATTAATATCTTACAAAAATTTATTTTAAATAACATCAAAAGTATGAAGGAAATAATTGTATTTATAACTCTGTCTCACAGAAGAATTGTATTTTTCACCACTAAACTTTGTGGTGGTTAGAGCCTACCTATATGTGAATCAGTAGAAATAATAACATCTTATAAAGAACAATTCAAAAATGCATTTTTGTTGGGGACGGGGACAGTATATAGACACTAAATAATATTCTTAACCATAAAAAAACCCATAAAATACAAAGAAATTTTAATTTATAAATACTTGTACACATTTTGAATCATTATTTTATTTAATAAATAATTAATGGTTGTTTTTTTTATTTAATATTAAAATAGGTTTTTACAAATAATATATATTTGTATATTTTTAAATATTGAATAGTTAATTCAATTAGTTTAATTTATATTTTCTTGAGTTCTAACATGAATACAACCTACTGTCTAGAGCTCACTAATCTATTAATTAAATGTGAATTTATAGCTGTGTGAGATAATATTAACCTATACATATGGCACTGTGATTTTGTGCTTGAGTGATAACCAAAACCAGTTAAGGGCTACTTATAATGCAATTTTAGTAATTTAATATGGTCCATTATTTTCAACTACATTTTGAACACAAACAAATTGTTCAAAATAAGAAATGTTCTAGTTTCCACGTTTTAAACTAAAAGTTGTTTATGATTATACTTTTAAAAAACTGTAGAGATTAAATAAAAATTGTAAGGATTTAATTAATTTACCCTCGTTAACTAAATTAAATATATCTGAATAAATAAATATCAAATTTATACATAAATATAAGAAGTATAAAATAACATATTTTGTATATTGCTTGAATATGTACATAATAAATACATGAGTCTTATCAGCTTTCACTTAAATTGTAATAATTTATATACTATATAAAATTAAAAAATTAAACTCATTAAAGGTGATAATATAAAGTAAACAGTTCCGAATTTTTTTTAAATATTTACTATTTTAATGAAGAATTATTATTTAAATTTAATATTTCTTTATGTTATAAATAAATTACAAATAATGCATAAGTCATTCAAACTACAATGTATATATAATACAACATATTAAAATATATTTAAAATACAATTTTCATTTGTATCATTTACCAAAATTATTGTTATCTGTTCTTTAATCGTTAGTACAATATTACATGCAATCTATATGTATACCAAGTGGTTCTTTTATCATTAAACACTTATTACAGTAGGGTCTCGATAATCCGAACGAGATTGGGGAGAGGGGTCGTTCAGATTAGCGATTTGTTCGGATTACCTATGGCTTAGAAAAAACATCATTTCATTGTAATTTAAATTATGAAATTTTATTTTTATCTTTATTAATCATATAAAAACTCATAATTTCAAAAGACAATGAATATATAAAAATATTAATAATCATAATAAACATAATCGAAAAATTGTATTACCGGAAAATATTATTTATAAATACATATGTACATATTAGATAAGATAAGATAATTCCCAAGCCCGTTCGGATTACCGCATCTTTCGGATTAGCCTGTGTTCGGATTATCGAGATCCTACTGTATTTCAATAAGTATAAATGTTTTAGAAAAAAAATTGCATGGTTTCTAGTTGTTAAGAAACAACTTTTTACCATTTTTAGTTTTGTAATAACTTAAAACCATGTAAAAAAAATATTTTTGAAAACATTAATATATTTTTTGAATAATGAGTGTCGTACATTACATTAACCACCAACAGTAGAATTCTGTGTTTTACATTTATTTATGTACAATGACTTCTTATTTGTCATAAATGGACTAATATTGTATAAAACTAAACAATATATATCTTAATATTTGTATTTTTAAAAATTAATGTTTAAAGTTTCTGTATATTTGAGGTATAATATATACCCCATAATTATTATTTATTATTTTGTTTGATATTTTATTATTTTATTATTTTATTATAATACATTTTTACTAGATATTAATCAAAAATGTTAAAATAAAATTCTTGCAATGATACATTTTATAAATTAAATGTACAGATATTTCATTAACATATACCAAAGAGTGAACAATACTAAAAAATCAAAGTTGTCATCTCAGTTACCATTTGCACACTTCAAATTATTCCCATTTTAATTTTGGTGAATGTTTTTTAATGTGTACACATTTTTATTTGTTATTTAACATATTTTATTTGTTATTACATTATTTATTATTATTATATTTTACATAATAATTATTATTATTTATATTTTTATTATTATTATTATTATTATTATTATTATTATTATTATTATTATTATTTTTATTCAGCCATTCAATGAATTATTAAAATGTACATGCTTTAATCTTGGCAATCTGTAATTATTTTTTTATTGATAATGAATTGGTTGTATGGAAGTAAAAACTTATTTTTATACTAAATATTATGTTTTTATTTATACAACTAATTCGTTTTATGTTAAAATGTTTGCTATGGCAGAATTGATTTTAGAAACCAAAGAAATTATAAGAATGTTTAATATTGTATAAAAGAAAAATAATTATGTAATAAACATTTTTTTTAAATATATATTCCTTTTAGTTGTAATAATTTTTAATATTGTACTGTATGTTTGGTTGGTGTGTAAGTTTTTACACCATTGTTTCTCATATCTAAAATATTTTAATACATAAATAAAATTAATAAGGATAGCTATGAACATTCAGTTAAATTTATGTTTTTACTCAAATCTTAGCAGTCATCAGACCAAAAGAAATACTTTAACTTATAAGTGTCTAATTGAATAACTGTTAAGCTATCATAGTTACCAACTAAAAGCTAATTAAATTTAAAAAAAAAAAAACTTATTAAAAACTTATAATATTATTTTATATTTTATATCTATAATTTCTTAAATTAATTATTTAATATTATAAAGTATAAATATCTTCTAAAATTGTTGTTATTTTCAAAAATAATAATATAGGAAGGTATTGAGACAAAATAATATATTTCAAGAACAAACTGTTAATCACTTATATTTTATTTTTGCTCAAAACACATTTGTTCAATCTTGTATATTCAATATTCTCATAGTTAAAATAACTTATAACTATAAAAAACATTATTTAAATTGAAATTATGCTTATAAATAACAAAGAAATATGTTAATACAAATTGTATTCTTGAATTTAATGTGAATCATTTATTTTAAACTATTCATTGATATTATGATGTACTTGAATATTGAATTGTTATTTTACTTAAGTTTGATATTGAATTATGAAATTAAAAATTATGTGTTATAAGTGTTCTATTGATAAAAAGTCTATTAATTTCTTAGTCAGTATGCTATTGTAATGTATAATGTCTTGTTACATTATTTTTGTTGTTCAGCAAAATAAATTGAATTTAAACATTAACAGTCATTGCAAATTTTTAATTTTGTCCTATTGATTCTTAAAATGTATCTTACATAGTTAAATATTAATATATTGCATCAAATAATTATTATCAAATGTGATAAATTGAAATATTAAGTTATGTTTGGCCAGTCAGTAAGCATTAACCCAATGTAATGATGTTCAAAACTTTAAAAAAAAAAAACAGGAAAGTGAGTAATGTTCTGTTATTCATGCCTAGAGACTAGAGAGTCACTGTGATGCATGTGTTTGAATTCAACAATCATCGCATACGAAAAACTAGTCTGTGTGACGATGGTCTATAAGTATAATATTACTAAGTAAATACTAAATTGTATGATATTATTGTGATTTTATTATTAAGCATTAATACTACAGTAGGTTACATTTAATTTTACCAAAACAGTTGCATTTGTAAATGTCACTGTGTGTGTCCTGTTTACAATATATCAATGTAGTCTAATAGTCTCAAGTACCCACAGATAATATTTTTGAAATGACAAAAAAATTATTAAATTGCTATTCTTCAGTTTAATGTGTAATTTTGTCCAAATTTGAACTTAAAATATCAATAAAAAACAACTTTTAATATATTTTTCTGTTAAAAGTAGAAAAATGTCTAATCTTAGATATTCACTGAAAAAATATGAAATCCTAACTAATTTGGCAAATTTTGTGATTTTGATGAATTTTATCAAAATTGTATCTTTAGATGCTCATAAAAAATTATTGTGGTTTTGAGATCAACTTTTTTAAAATTTCACGTACAACAGCTTATGAGGAACTTTGTATTACATTTCCAAGTGTTTTTAGCAAGCAAAAATTTTTTTTGAATAGTTAAAAAAAAAAAAAATAATATCATTCAAAATATTCTTGTGCCTACAAATAACTCAAAAAGTAATGCAATATTTCGAATATATTCTAGTGCCTAGTTAATGACAATGTTATGTATTTATGGTTATTTTTTTCCAGAGTTACACTAAAAAAACAAAATTTATTTTTTCACAAACCGGTTTTACTTAAAAATTTCAGTTTTTTCTTGAAATTTTGTTTTGTTTTTCCTGACACTTTTGAAAATGATTGAGAATTTTTTACTTTTGACCTACTACATTCACTTTCCTACCAGAAAAGATGATGTTGAAGAAAATCAAATGATTGCTCCTGACTTTTTTTTAGATCTGTTAATTGATGATTGAATTTTAAATTACATCTTACCATTTTAATATATTGAAATAAACCGTTACCAGTTGATTTATTCCAACTTAATCTTCATTAAAGATTTTTTACACAACCATTTTGATGGTTTTAACCAAATTTACAGGTCTAAAATTATATTTAATCATGATAACATTGATAACTATTTAATTTTTTGTAACAAGGTAATAGCAATACTATAATAAACAAAAATATATTAATTGCTAGTGAGCTAAATATCAAATTAAAAAAAGATAAGAGCCACGTTTTATTTATTGAGATAAAATATAGCCTATAGATCCTTGGAAAAGTGTAGCTTTCTGACGGTAAAACAATTTAAAGTGGATTATAATTTATAAGTAGTTTCAAAGAACAAATAATCAAATTACGATTTATGATATTAAGTACCTGTAGGTGCTTTATACCTACAGTTATTCCATAGGTTACCTACTATTTAAACAAATTTAAATAGTACGTGGTCTTTTGATACTTGTGATTTGTGATATTATTTTAGTAATGTTTTTATTGTTATTTCATAAGAAGTGGAGAAATTACCAATTTATAATAATACGGACATTTAAAGGATCTTGTATAGGTAATATCACTATTAATATCATTAACATGACTACTGTCTATGGGCTATAGCACCACGGTCTTAGAAGAACTTCTAAGATCGTGGTCTATATTGTCTATAAGTACCTAACGTTACAGTATGCGATGGTCGATGTGTGTTGTACATATTATTTTTACGTGAAAATATAACGCTAGCCCGGCTAGGTACCAGCTATTGTGTTGACAATAATAAAATAAAATAATAACGATAATAATGAAATCGTGGTTGGTCGTTATAGCAATACAAAATGTACGGACGGTAGTCTATACTGTGTACACATATTAGTAATTACAAGCCACCAAATGTCGTCTGTCAGCTGCCGTCAGCTGCGTGTCACCGACCCAACCGACTCGCCGTACGGATTCGATCGAGAGCTACCCCTGTGTTTATTCGACGTTCGGACTTTCGTAGTGTAAGGCATTGCACTATTATTGTATAGTGTACGTCCGTATTAGGGTTGCGCTTGCTCTGCCGGCCGGGTAATATTTGCAGGGGATGCGCACCGCGCAGACGCGAATTAAAACATTTCGTACGACCCCCGATGCACGGTTACAATAATAATAATAATAATAACAATAAAGTTTATGCGCTCACAGACTACGCGTCTAAGCGGGATCTCATAAAAATTATGTTGTAATGTCGTCGTCTAGCACTCTAGCCGTCAAACGCATAACCAATAATCATTAATCTTATTTCTACGGTCATAATCATTAATAGTCTTTCGTGGTTATTGCGTGTTCATGGTTATCGTCGTTCATCGCCGGTAGTCTGTTGGTGCCGTACCACGCGATATAATGTAATAAAATAGTTGTATGATTTAAATAACATTTAAAACAAACAAAAGCGGTTTTTTCACGTCTGCCGCAATCGAATGACAATCCTTTGAAATGGAAATGCAAACTCACGTCATCGTTCGCAATGTCAATAACGGCGACAACGACGTTGTTTATTGTCGGCGAGGCTCCGTTTACGACCGTCCTCATGACGGTCGACGGTAGGCGCTGTGCCGCGGGTTTGTGAGACAGGGGATGCGGCTGGCCGGTGTTGTTCGCTCGCCGGGCGGATTCGGTCCGACGTCATAGCCTTAGATAACGTCATATTTTAGCGAATCTGTTTAGTCCTGATGGAACAAGTCAAAGGAGTATGTGCGCGTCGTTGTCATCCCGCCACCGCGGCTATGTTTGCTGCGAATCGTATCCGCTGCGTTTAAAATTATTTTGTTTAAAATATAACTACCCCCAGAACGCGATGTTGGTTATCCATACACGTACGATATTACAATTTTAATAGTAGGTACCTGAGTGATTCAATGATGAAAACTCGAGTTCGCCTGTTGCTGCTTTTGTTCACTGCTGCTCTTACCTTGTTCGTAGTTTTTTTCGTCTTCGATGAAAAACCCAACAGCGTAGACGTCAAAGTGAGTTGTACAGACCACCGTACTCCATGTAAATATGTAATGTTGATTTATATATTCATTTTCAGGACCACAAGTATTATAGTCAAAAACATAAATCACCAACCCATTACAAGCCTGCAAAGCAACAGTATATAATACATCCACCTCATGTAGAACGTACATTACCCACTCGAAGTGGAATCGTTCCTAGAGACGCAGTTTGGCAAAAAGTCCAATCAACAAAGTATTGTGACTATTTGAAATTTATTGTTAGTGTTTGACGACTAATGTGTTTTATCATCAAATAGGTACAAATTTTTCATTTATTCAGCATACTTGGATACAAGAATCAAATCTGTTGGGCCGTTGATACGAATAATTGGTGCGACCAAAACTCGAAAACCAGATCCAGTTTGGTGTAGATTATGGTATGCAAATAGTTCCAAGACTGTTTCAGCATCGGTGAAAGCAATCCGTGAAAACTGGAATCTAAAGTACAGTGCAGTATTTGTGTTGTGCAAATTACCATCAGACGGAAACCATCCGTTAAGCGTATCCATTGTATCTCATGTCAAAGATCCAATTACTAATGAAATTCTGATTCAAATGCCAAAACCAACTAGTCAACTTAAAACTGATATAGAAATTTGTGTTAAGCCATTTCATTATTATTATGATCGAGTAATTATTTATTCACTTAAATTTATTAAAGTTCCTTTACCTTTTAATAATTGTTATATTTGTTTTAATTTAAGGCAATACAACTTATGGAATTTGTAGAGCTAAATTATTTACTCGGGATCGGACATTTTACATTTTATAAAAACACTATTGGGCCAAATGTTGAATGTGTTTTGGACCATTACACAAAAGACAATTTGGTTTCTGTTTTACCTTGGCAGTTAGACATAGTATCTAAGTCAGAAATTAGAACTGAAGGAATGTTTGCTGCACTTAATGATTGCTTGTATAGAAATATGTACAAATCAAAATATGTGGCATTTTTAGACATAGATGAAATTATTGTTCCTAGACAAAATGATACATTAATCAAATTAATTAAGTATGTTTAATGTTAAGATTTTCTGATGCATACCAATATGTAAAATTGATTGTATTACTTATTTATTTTCAGTTGGTTAAACATTTATCAAACTCCAGCTGCTTATTCGTTTCGTAATGCATTCTTCTACATGCAATGGGCTGATGATGACTCATTACCATTAGATCAGAATCCATTTCATTCGAATCTTGTTGTTTTACGCAAAACACGGCGTAAGACAAAATTGCACCCACATAAACAACGTTCAAAATATATTTGTGATCCGCAACGAATAGTAGAAGTTGGAAATCATTTTATCTGGGAGTTTCTAAATCCTAGTGATGGGACATTTTATTTTACACCAGAACGTGCAATACTTCATCATTATAGGGTTTGTGAGTATGGAGGAGATGATTGTGTAACTGCAGACTCTACAGTGGACCGCACAGTGTACAGGTACAGAAAAAAATTGGTCGACCGAATAACAAATACTCTTAGCAACTTGGATACAAATTGTCTAATAGAAGCTCAAGCAAACACTAATGAAACAATGTACTTCTCAAATTAAATTTTCTTGATAACATTTAATTTTCATAAAGTGTGCTTCCAATAATTTATTGAATATAATTATATTAAACAGGGTGAATTAAACCTTTAAAATATGTATAATGCATATTAGTGTTGTGTGAAATACGTGTAATTTATGGGTCAAGAGTAAATTAACTCTAGCCTAAATTTTAAATAGAAAAAATCATCATACTCTTATACCTTGTAAAAAAAATATAAGTGAATAAAAATAAAAATGTTTATATTTAAAAACCATTTTGTAAAACTCAACAATTAATATATTATGTCCAATTTTGCACAAAATGAGGCTGGTATGGTATTCGTATAATAATTTCAAAATAAAGCTAATTTTGTGATAAACAAATGTGATATCTAAGAAATTTGTTTATTATATTTATAATTATAAATAATTATTACTTATGCTATCAAAAAAAAAAAAATAATAACAACCTTCAAAAATGTAACAATTAAATATTATAGTATAAACTTAATGCGTCTAAATCAAATTATTCATATAAACTTAAATAGTACGTATAGTAAATTAAGTATGAAAAAATAAAGCATAAGCATTAAATATCCTCAATATTTTCCTTCAAAGTAGAAATATCAATAACATCGCAAGCAATGAGAGGGTTACTTTTGGTGCATTGGTTCATGTATGCAGCAGTTTGCTCCAAAAGTTGTGCATCAAATGCTTTATCACTATTTCCTGCTAACAGCACTCTATTAATATCTTCAGCAATCTTCAATGATGTTAGTTGCTTGAAATTAGTCTTCAATACATTTAAAATTTCAGCTTTAACATCAGATGCACGACACACAAAGTTCAATAAAAATAAACCTTCTTTTCCGATTAAACTTTTTACATTATTCAGTATATCTTGTCTCAAAAAATCTTTTGGTGGTCCACTTAAACCCAACGTGGGATCTTTAACATCGACATCATATACTACTGCATCGTATTTATCATTATTTTTAACAGCATTGCATATATAATCAAGACCATCACAAATATTTACTTCTAATCTACTATCCTCTAACAGTCCAAAAGCTTCTTTGGCTATTTTGTACACAACTTGATCTATTTCTAAAGCAACAATATTTACATTTTTATAAGCATTTAATAACAAATTAGTAAGTATACCTCCACCCAAACCAATTAATAGGATTTTAGATTCTCTATTTAATCGATTTGCTAAAATGCCCACACCAAGGCCCAAATATGGTATGTAATCACTGAGGAAATGGGAATAATCGATTTTGGTCTCTCCATTTTCAGTCAATAATTTTATTTCTGATTGAATGATATGAGGCATGTTAAGGAATACTAAACGTCTAAAAGTTTCATCTTTTTGCCCAATTACTTCCTCTATTACAAAATTTCCTGAGTGTTCACTTTCGCTTTCCATAATGATTTTTCTGTCTCCAAGTTGTTGTTCTAATGATAAAAATAGTATGGTTTCGCCACGTTTGATGACACCTTGTGGTGCTATTTTCAACATAAGTCTTGATAGTTCTTGTTGTACTTGTTTTAAATTCTTATAGATCTGTCCTCGATGCATACTAATAATAGCTAAACGATCTACATTACAATTCCGTCGCAGTATATCTTGCCCCTCTTCACTGCTAAACAACCACTCGTGTTCTCGACCATGAGGAACAATGAATGCAGCAAAAGTCATTTTATTTGGATTTTTTTGAGTTGGAGATTCGACAATCATAATTGTGTAACGAGGTTTTTTTGTTTGGGAACAATTAATTTCAAATCGATAATTATTTGACATGTCTTCCATTTGACATTTAGTGAGATCAAAACACATTGAAATAGATTTCTGAGTATCAATAACTATTTCTAATAGATCATTTATGGAATCTAATCTTTCATTTGTAAGTCCATCAGGATTCCACTCAAGAACTGGATTAGCTCCAGGTATTTTATTTACTTTTGTGCAGACTACCATAAACACTGGCTGGCCATTGAAATCTGGCGAGTCTTCAACTTCTGTACATTGGCAAACGCGAATTATCCAACCGTTTTCACTGAAATACGAAAATATAAACTGCGCAATATGATACTGGAGAAGGGACACACAAATATATCGCCCACCAAATTTCAATATTCTTTTGATTTCGTTAAACATTTTCATTGCACGTGTAAGAGACTCCACTTCACCATCTGGCATCAAAGCATCCAACGTTCCTTTGTCAATAACAGCACTAAACTTTTCATCGGCATATTTGGTATTCAATATATCCTCAATTTCATAAACTAGTCCTGGGTATTTGTTTTTATGTTTATTATTCATATTGGCAATTACAACTTCGCTATTATCCACACTAGTCATGTTGATAAACCCATCAGTGTACAATTTTAAACTAAGATCAGAATTTCCACATCCCGACATCAATATAACATCTTTAGCACTAATGTATTTGGTAAGTAAACGTTTTAAATTTTCATAATTACCGTACCATTCGAAAGTAGCTTTACGTTTTGTAAAAAAAGAGTCCCAATACTCCGTTGTACTGAAATCGCTGTTTTTCTCAGGCACCAAATTCATTATAGTTGTGTAGTTGTGTTACGGATAAAATAAAGTCACTTAATGATTTATAAAAAACTAATAAACATTTACTTTGGCAATAATACCTTTAACGATTTAATTTAATCTATCGGTCATCATGGTGTGATGTGTGGTGTGATCAACAAACGTAAATATGCAGCCGCGGCGAGATAATATTATTGTAAATAAACGATAAGATAATTTAAAGCATTGCCAGTGCAGCCACTAGCATCAATCAATTAATATCAGAGTTTTATAATTCATATTAATTCTCATTAAAATTTAAAATCACGGCATAAAAAATTATTCAGCAATATGTATGATGTAGATACGAGTATTATTATAAAAGTCTAAAGTTCTAACTTCCAACCAAGTTCTCTCCATCTAGTATCTACATCGTGTTAAGTATAGTCAGAACTCAGTATAGACCATCAGTAAAAGAATCTTTATAGTCTTCACTCTTCATGATCATTAATTCATACAAATATTGTCAAACGTCAAAGAAACAAAATTAATTTGTTTGTAACGCATTTAAGCGTATTAATTTAAACTTTTTTGTCGTGACACTAGTTTATAATGATAAAAAAAAAAAAAAAATTAAATTGTATTATGAGTTTACTACTACCGACTTTATCAGATACACTATACAGTATACCTACTGAAATATCTATTAAAAATTGCTATTACTTTTTACAAGTTACAACTACAGATCTGATGTCTCATGTATCTGAATTTGGATAGCTTGTACCTACACTAATTTAGTCAGATCTCAGATGATATTAGGTAATAGCCAATTGGTATGTTACCTAAAATAGTAGATTCTCACCTACTACTTGGTCAACAACACAATTTAAAATATCTTAACCATGGTACACAATTGACACAGTTTAATCACTAAGATCTTAAATCACAATATATTATTGCAATAATGCACCTATAAACAATACCACAGCGTCCACAGCCCACAGGATACCAGCCAGGTAGTTTGCACAAAGCATTGCTACTGTTAAACAATATCAAATAAAACTATTACCATTTACCTATTACATATAGGTATCTTAAAAGTTAAAATACAAACTACCAAAATTGTATACATTTATAACACATAGCAATAAATACTATGTTTCAGAAAAATATATGTAGAACAGAGGTATAATGACTCATTGAGTAAATAACTATCAATCAATTGTCCAATGGTCATAAACACTCAAAATAAATAATAAATATATTGTTGTAGTCGGTACATCATGTACCAATGCTGTGCCTTTTACCATTGTACATCATTAATCAGTGTTTGTACCTATCAATTTATAAATAAGAACAAATAAAAAAGTACATATAAGTAGCCACTTAATAAAAATTACTATAATACTATAAGTTACCCAGAATATAACAATAAGTATTTGTAAGTTATAACAATGAATGATCTAAAAAATACATAGAGTAATAATAAATGAAAAAATATGACTTATATTTATAACTTTAATTTGTAAATTATTTCTGAGATAAATTTAAAAAGCATTTTGATTTTTATAGTTAGGTAAGGAGAAACACCAATAACAAGTAGCTTTAGGTACCTACCTATATAGACTATCCAGTAACCAGTACCTATTTGCTGTACTATCAGGGACATATTTTGGGTCAAAAGGGCCCCCATTCACTACAATTATACTTTAATACATACATCATTTTTTAATTTTTTGTTTGTACCCACTCTTCCCACAATTAGACATTTTTTTTAAATATGCCCCTATATACTGTAATATGGAATACAGTAGATACTTATTTATTTGTATACAAAAATAACAACAGTGCTTATTTAATTTTAAAGAATTCAATCAGGTGTTTAGTACCCATACACAAATATTTGTGTAAGTACAAAAACAATGGTAGATACATCACCAATCTCTAAAACAATTATTAATAATTCAATGAGATTCAATGAATTCAATTGGAGCCATCATAATTTTTAATGAAACTGTATGGTTTTGATATTATTATAATGCAATCAGCAGATTTACTGTTTGAAAATAATTTAATTAATTTTTTATAAGATGAATTTTAAATACCGGCTAAAATTGAAAATGTACATTATAGTTTAGGTAGGTACCTACTTAATGAAAAATAATAGGTACACAACTAGCTGTGTACACACAGCATAGCTCTATGTTACTTTAAAATAAAGAGTAAGACTTGAGTTTTAAAATAGGTATGAATAACAATTTAAATACTTTTTTTTTATTTATTTTTTAAAAAATTGGTATTGGTACAATCATCAATATTTACACATAATATTCTTTTTTACATTTTACAAGTTAGTTTTGAAAATCGCTTATTTATTGTTAAAATTTCCATCAAATGAGCAACTGAGTAATTATATAAGGGATCCCAACAGTTAATGTAATAAGATAGAAGTTATAACTTTTGGAAGCTGTTGGTGCATTGTTACAGAGATCGCCGTGACAAAAACACATAAAAACTTTTTTATACTCCCACATGGTGTCATCGCAACGTTCTTCTCCATCGGAAGGTCCCCTCTGCAAACACGTCCTTTGTGTTGCCGTATCGAATTCTTGTTCTTTGGCATCAGAATTTCGGGTCTCAATTATTTTCCCACACCATCCCGAAGCACAAGGCACAGCTTCCACTCCAATACCGGATTCTAAGCTGATCTGCGTGAGGTTGGTGTACTTAAATCGATCTTTACAGCTTCCTAAATCTCCACGGGAACGGCAGCTGAAACATCGTTTCACAACGCTGTCAGAAAAGTTGATCAGTATTGACACTAAGAAAATTGTTACGACAACCGACTTATTGTTCATAGTGCAGTGTGTTAATGACTGACGATCAAAAATTGAACGATTGTTCCTACTACAGTACTATGATTTGTATGCCATACGCATACTTTCACTTTAACTCTCGATGCAACAGGTTATTTTACCTGTTATTATTTTATGTGTAAGAATGTAAGGTACATACAACAGACTACAGGATAAGGATGTGTACATGCTTTTCTTACAATTGGTTTATAGTAAATAAACAGGTACTTGGCAAGTATTCTAAGCTAGGAGAAAAAACCTTTTTACTTTTTAGAACATATTTTATTCTAGACTGAAAAATAAACAAAACTATACATATTATAATATTATGTATATAGTCTTAAAGAAGGGAAGAATGTATTATAGCAATATCTTAATTGCATATGAATTCAGATTCTGTAGGTAGGTATTGGTAGCAATGAAAAACAAGAATGACGACACCATGGTGTGTGGACTGGAGAGAATGGAATACCTTGTATTTCAAATTCAAAATACAGAGTGACTGAAAAAATAGATGGCATCAGGCCAATTTATCTTACAGCATTAAATCCTATGTGGAATTCGTTTATTTTTTTAGATATTTAGACTATAGAGGTGAAATTTAAAGTAAATACATGGTTGTGTTCAGATTTGTTTGACATAATTTAATTTTAATTTTATTATATGTACTTAAATTCTATCAAAAATGAAAATTTAAAAAAATTAATATTTGACACACTCTGTATAATCATATCACTCAAAAAATGTCTGATACCTAGTACCTACTATAAATTAGTAAATACCACTATACCAGTAACAAGTCGGCAGTCGCCAAATGCCAATCGGAGAGACTGTAACCACTAACTAGTGTCGTCTTTAACTTAGTAGTTAGTGTTTACTAGTTACTACTTGTGTACATTGCTGGCTGCCGGCTAGGAGTACTGACTACCGACCGCTGCTGCAACAGTTCTTTACCAGTAACTACAGTATTACGGTAGCGTACGCCGTGTCGCCGCACGGTCTAGTGTGTACATAAGTACATTGTATTTTGTCGATGCAAAAACCGTCTACAATCCGTGTCCCCTGGCTTCTGAGTATATAATAGTTTTATTTGTATCGTTGCCAAGCCAGCTTGCAATTGAGTTCTTCCTATTTCGTAATTTTTTTAAAATTTTTTATCTATTATAACCCATTGTTGTTGAATAACTCTGAATCTACAGAATGTTATAGGTAAGAAATATCTACCATATTCAAAGAATATTAGATTTAATTCTACTGTTTAATAAGCTTTTGAACTATTTTTAGTATATTGAACTAAGAAAATGAATGAATCTGACCACCAAAATGGGGTGCATTGCATGCGTACTCCAAGATCAATTACCGAAATGCCTTATATACCACAAACTCCACCAGCTGGCCTTGCTTCACTTTACATGTTGTGTAAAAGGATATACCCAGATCAGTGTAATCCTTTACAAGCCACAACTGTGATTAAGTTTTGGTGAGAAATTATATTTAAGTGTGGATGTAATTTGAAATACGTAGTCATAACTGTCAATAAATTGCTGAAAAAATGTATCTTCTTTCATATTTATATTATAATAATTAACAATTTGGTTTTTTGTTGCTGGCTACCTTACAACAGTATAAAAATTTAAATAATAAATAAAACACAACTAGGTAATTCAATTGTTTTTCAATTGAATAGCTTAACATTTGTTATTGTTATTATCTATCACATCAAACTATAACAGCACTTCTGCATTTCTCATTTTGTAACTAACATTTTTAATTAGGTTTAATATTTAATTCTTAATTAGTTTTATTTTATTTAATAAACTACTAGTTCCTATGATTATTTAAATAATATGTTCATAGTATACAGCACTGCTGCCAGTCGCCTGATACTCAGTCTCGTAGCAGTCACTAATAATATCAAAATTGTCATTAATGTTGTTATTGTTTGTTTCAAATAAATTACAATTAAATAGTTAAATAGCAAATAACCATATCCAGTATTGAATGAAATACAGTTCCAATATTCAAATGAAACATTATGAGGCCTAATAATAGTGTTACTTGAATACTCAAATTCCCAGATTAATACAGTTATTAAAAATTCTATATTATATTCAGATGAAAGTTATTCTAAGTGCTAAGTATATTATTATAACAATTGGTATGAAAGTGCACTAAGATTTCAATTAACCTACTCCAAAAGCTTCACAAAGGACACTTTATATATTATGTTAGTGTCTGCTGATACGGGTCATATATACCCGTATGACTGTCATCAGTGGCTTATCTCAGTTTTGTATTATAGTAGCTATAATAATGTTGTCTAAACATAATTTACATTTTTTTTTTTGGTTACAATATTAATAAAATTTGCTATTAACAAAGATGTTACAAGATTGTGAGGCTCCACAAATGTAACACACTTGTATAAGTGTATAATACAATATTATAATATTATTCCCATTGCATTTCATGTATTACTATTACTTTTTCTGTATGATAAAAAGCCACAGTCTTCACAATACACTAGAATTCAGAGATTCCCAAACTGTAGGTTGCAATTGTGTGTATTTATATACTAAGTACATAATAAATACTCCATTATTAAATTCGTAATTATCTTAATAGTAACTAAGTAGTTAATAAGCCAAATAATTGATATTTGTATTTATGAATTAATTAATATTATCATTGAAATATATATAATTATACTACCTATATAGGTATATTTTAATATAAATATTTTTAAATTGTTATGTATTGATATATCAAAATTATATCGCTGGTCAACACTAGTCATTAGTGTGTTGTAGTTTGCCAAATTGTTCTCAAGGGAATGTAAAAAGCTTAGAGAACCTCATCATAGATATGTCCCTAGATTAGTTATAACTTAGGTTAAAGCTGTTTGATCACAGAATAAGAAATGTAGATTGATGTTTAAATTATAAATTATAAAGAAGCACATGTAAAAGACGACTCTGACACATTTTTAGTAAATTTGATAAGTTTAATGTTATTGTTAGTTAAAATAGTTCATTTTTTTCTTTAGACGATTTTATACAAGATTAAAGCTTAAAATGTATCTAAAAATATAATGTGTGAAAAACTAATTTACGTAGGGTAGGGTTGGACCAGGGTTAAGAGGCCACTTTTTATTATCATTTCCTGTCTGTATCTATTTTTGGTTGACACATGTTCATTTAAATAATTTATTATTACACATTAAGTATAATGAATACCTATCTTTCAATAGAAGCTAAAATAAGAAATGCATTACTTTCATCCTGTATGTTTATATTTATTAATTAAAATTAAAAATAATCAGGTTTGTTTTAGATCAGTGTTTCCCAAACTTTTTGCAATAGCGACCCATAAATTTAATCTTTATTGAGTAAGCGACCCCCTGCTTAAAAAAAAAAAATCCATCGTACAATCTACAATACTAGTTGGACTTCACATTATTACTATACAGTATAAAAATACCAATTTATGGCTAAAATAATAGTTACTGTAACCGCGAGTCGCGACCCATCAAAAGACCATGGTTCGAGACCCATGGTTTGGGAAACGCTGTTTTAGATAATACTTTAAAAATTGTTTATATGAACTATGGAGTATGAAGAGTTAAAGAAAACAAGCAATGTAGTTTATTACCATCTAGGTGCTAGTTAAGTTTTTTTCCTAAAAAATAAAATTTTAATCTTACTATGTATGAAAATGAAAACATGACTAAATATTATAATTATATTTTTTTTCTATAGGTGAGTCACTGTGCTTACTTATTTTTTCTGTGTCAACCTTATGGAAAAATGTGTGTATAATGGAATACCTTGTACATAGTTGTATAATGCATTCATTTGTCATTCATATTTGGGATGTTCCTCGTTATTCATTTAATAATATTAAACTATTTAGTGTATTTTATAAATATAACTATACATCATAATATTATATTAATAAACCATTATATTTATGTTAAAAAAATCAAGAAAAATTGTTATGATTTATTACTTCTTGATTCTTAAATATTAATAGAAACATTTAATATAAACTTTATCTTATATCATTGTAGGCTTGGTGGTCCAGATCCATTAGATTATATTAGTATGTATAATAATCCAGGTGATCGAATGATTGGTATTCCACCACATTGGCATTATATTAGGTAATTATATTATTTATTTGCTGTATACTATATTAGGTGATTATTTTATCATGAATCACTCATTATTTAATAGAGTATGAATGTTTTTGAAAAACAAAAATGTTTACATGACTTCCAGTCAAAAATATTTGAAAAATATGTATATTTTTTAAGATATTTACTTTTTTGAATGACCACACGCAGTTTTATTTTCATATTCTAAAGCAAAATATTTCGATACATAAAAATTAAATTTAGGACATGTAGCTTATGACTTAAAATTATTTTTTTTTAGTTTAGGTGAGTGGAGTAGTGGACCAACATTTTGTGGAGTAATTGTGTACCACTTCACTTCGCTCATCCAAACATAAATACTCTTAACTACTTGTCCTAAATTAAATTTTTTTTTGTAACAAAGTACTCAGATAAATATTCTGCTTTCAAAGATGAAATTAAAACCATTTGTTATCATACAATTAATTAAACAACTTAAAGAATTATAAAAGTAAAATTAAAACTTTTAGAAATAATGACTGTCTTACGTTAAATGGTATATTCGACATAACTGAAAAATGTATTATATATTATGTAAAAATAATAAAGATCACTTAAACTTTTAATGTAATTATTATAATATCCATTATACACATTATGTTTTATTAATCAAATTGTTTGATGGAATCGTATAGTTTTGGCTTATCCGATTTGCATGGTGATAATCGTGTTCATAACACTGCAAATGGATCAGATGGGCCAAGTGGATTTGGCTTTGAATTGACATTTCGCCTTCTTAAAGACCCTTCAGAAACATCTCCACCTACTTGGCCTGCTCGTTTGATGCAGTCACTTGCTAAATATGTTTTTAAAACAGGTATAGTTAATTTAGTTACTTGAGTCATTATTATATTGCATTATAATCCTTTTTCTTTACCAAGTAAAAATACCATAAATCTTCCTATGCTGACCAGAGCTATTAATATTGTTATAATTTGTTAAGTAACTGCCACAGAACCGGTTGATGGATCAGGTTATAGACACTCTGTATTTATTAAAAAAAAATCAAATCTTTGGTACGGACAACACTGAGGGGGACAGCTAGTTTACTAGTAGAATGCTATTCAACCCTATGTATATATACAGGACCTATAAAGGCTGTATTTCCTTCCTGTATTATAAGTCTAATTTATAGTTTATCTAATACAATACAAATGATCAAAGCACATACCATATTTAATGTTTATGATAACTTTATGAGTAACAACGAGTAAAATTATAGGAAATACATTATACGCTGGTGATCATGTGTCTTGGCATTGTGGTTTGGATGGTAGTGAAAGCCGTTTACAACACATGTTAATGGGCGAAGATCCTCAACTACAGGTCACTGTCACACCGCATGGATCAGTTAGATTTGTTCAAATTGTTGG